CTTATTATGCAGCACTGTGCTCACGCTTAAAATTATGCAAATCAAATTGAGTGCCGCCGTGTAGTGGATTTACTACGGTACATATACGCAAAGCGATGTCAGTTGTAGTGAGGTGTAGTCAATGTCAGCATTCATGTTTTCATTTTTGTTGACATAACCTTTCGATTTTTTCTGTGTGTTATTTAACGCCAAAACACCGCTTAGCAATTCCATTCATAATTTGCTTTGTTGCTTGTCCGCTTTCTCTCCACCCCCCATTGCGCTGCCAGACACCTGACTTTGCCGGCTTCTGCATTATCAGCGGTTTGGCATCTTGTAGACACAGCGTCGAGTTTTTCTGCTGCTTTTCTTTCGGATATATGTAAAAACATATCAGCTTTCAGGTAACGTCGTCTCTATCGTGCTACAGCGACTTCCCCTTCCTGTTCTACTTCTCTTCCACACGCTGTAGTGATCAGCAGTTTTTTGTTGTTCAATGCTTTGTTATTCCCGTTCAAAGTGTTGCTGCTCGCCTCTTTTTGTATGGTAATTCTCAGAAAATTTACATAATTCAGCATTCAGCGCTCTTAAATTAACGCGTTCTGACACTTGCACTCTTCGACGCTGGCGTCTGGGGCACTGTGACTTAAACACTTAGAATTCCTTATTAGTAGATTGGTAAACAATTTGCACAGACAATGCTGAGGCACTCACTTAAATTGATCAGCTGATGGGGAATGATGTAGACGACGTTAGTGTTACTTTAAATATGTATTTCCAATATTAATTAAGTTTTCGTAGAATATATGTAGCAATTTTTTAATGTTGTTGAAGTTTATTTTGTTTATTAACTTCTCTGTTTTTGTCTGCTCTTTGCAATTAATTGTATTTTTTGCAGAAAGAGAATAAAAATGGCGTCATGTCACCGGATTCACCCGAACAGGAAGCCGATTTTACACTCACACCCCGCACCGAAGCCAAATACAATAAAATCGACGAGGACTTTCAGCTAATGATTCAACGCACTCAAATGGCCGGCGCGAGCGCATCCGGGCGCAATCTCGGCAATACGAACTACACGCTGCCGGTGTCGGTGCCGGTGCCGGGCGCCTACGGTGATGCCATGCTGCAGGCGAGTCCGCAAATGTCCCACACAAATATCAGCCCACGGCCATCCAGCTCAGAGACCGACTCAGGTGGGATGTCGTTAATAAGTTAGTACGGAGTAGTGTCGCGGAGCACACACCACATTCTTACTTTCAATTATCGTTGCGTTCAGTTGTTTGTTGTTGCGAGTTTGGTTGTTTGTTTGTTGTATTTTTTGGTTGAATTCTATTCGAAGTATTTTAAATAGTTTTCTGTTTTTATTTCGCTTGAGTGTTTATTCGTTGTTTATGCATATTTTATTTTAAATTTTGTTTTTGTTCTTTAGTTCAAGCTCGGATGCTTTGATTTGACTTCTTAATTTGAAATTATATATTTTATAAATTATATAAAGCTTTTTTTTTTTTTATTGAGATCCACTAAGAACACGTAATTCTACGGCTTCTTTAGCGCACCTATGCTAGTTGAGAACAACGCAGGACCATAACCGTTACAACTTTTATTATAAAAATCGCTCCTTTACGTTTATTTAATTAATCCTTAAATAATTTCTGATTTTTATTTGATTGAAACAACAATTTTATTTATTTTGTATTTTTATCTAAATAATCTGCAAATAACAGTTATTTTTGATTTTTATATTATATATACATATATTGAAGACTTTTATTCATAAAAGTCATGAGTGTGAATTTAACTTTTAAAAGTCATCTATATATTTCAGTTACTGACTTTTATTTTTTAGGACATACTCATAAAACTCGTTTGTATAAGTCTTATTAAACTTTTGTTCTCAAAAACCTTCTTAACTGACTTCAAAAATAAAAGTCAGTGACTGATTTATATTGATGACTTTTATAAATAAAGTATTCAATAACTGTTATCTAAGAAATATAACATAAAAATCAAAAATTAATGTTATTTGCAGACTATCTAGATAAAAATCAAAAATAATTGTTATTTATTTAATTTTGCATAAAAATTAAAAAAAACAAAAATTATTTTCAAAATTGATTCTCGGCGAAAAACTAAATCGATTAGTATGTATCACTTAGTTGTTGAACATTTCCTCAATAGTGAACTTTTCAAAGACAGTTTTCATCAATAATTGTTATTTTACGGTTCCTGCACGAATCTAGAAAAGCGGAGAGAGACCATTGTTTGGTGACTTAATGCATTTTATGACAATTATTCGAATATTAACTGAACGAGATGCTCATAAATATTAAAATTCCGATTTAGGGCTGAGGAAAACGTTAATTTTTCACGCCAGCAAATGGTGAAGCTTTGTATACTATGTATGTATATAACACATACATATGTATATACATGCATCCCTGAATCTATATATTTTTTTCTATAATTTTTTAATTTTCACGTTTAAATATGAAAGTGTTGTATAGGATTAGTCTCATCTCATCGATGCCACCATCTCAGCACTCAGCGCATTGCATGTTGTTCGCCTTTAATTTTTATTTTTTTTTATTTTTTTACTTTACTTTATTGTACTTGCATCGTTTATTTTATTTGTATATTTTTTATATGTTATTATTGTATATTTAATTTATTTTTCCTTGTTTGAATTTCCTTGATTTCATTTCGTTCATTTTATTGCACGCATCGTTCGAATTTGAATTTCCTCCTAATCGAAAAGTGGAAGGAAATCATAAAAATGTATATTTTTGTATGTTTTACGCAAAGGCAATGCAAAACAAAATTTTTCTCTTTCTCTTATCTTTTCATTTACCACCACAACCACAAATCATCAAAAACAAATCGACTCACCAACAACTCACCAAAAAAATGTGTCTGTGTGTGTGTTTTTTTATGATGTCAATCGAATTCTACGACAACAACAACACAGTTTATCCATCGGGTTCCATGTTGGAGATGTCAAACGGTTATCCACATTCACATTCGCCGCTTGGTGGATCGCCCAGTCCAGGGCCGAGTCCAGGTTTAGGTGGGCACCAAAATATTAAAAAATTAAAAAATTAAAAATCAAAAAGCAAAAAAACCAATTGCAATAATAACAATAACCAGACACCCAAATATGCATTAACATTTTACTAAACAAGCATTTGATGCACTTTTAAACTTTTTTGTTTGATATTTATGTATTTTATATACTTATGTATATAATAATATTTTGCTAAAAGTCCACTCCACTAAGAACCATTTTTGTCAATGATAAATTAATTTTTGAACTCATATACATATGTATGTAATACCAAATAACCGTTGCATGCTGCCAGTTACCCACGCACTTATCTAATTTATACGCTTTGTGAGAGATATGCTTTCGAACCATCAAAGGCTTTGATTAGCTTGATTAATTTATATTTCTCATTTCCCTGATTTTCTTTTCGCAAAGAATTTCTTTGTACTAATTTTAATGTAACAAATGTAACTGTACTTAACACACCTTTACCCAGTAGGAAAGATCACCAATGAACTGTTTAAACCGTTAGCTAAGTGTGTACTTACAGCGAAAGCTTAAGGTTCATGAAATGTAAACATATATACATACATAGTATGTATGTCGGAATTTTAATGCCGCCACCCTATTTTTTATTTTGAAATCCAAAAATAGTTAGGAGGTGCTCAAAGCGCTCAAAAATTCCATGTATGTATAAAAAAAAAATAAAAGTTTTCCGATCGAAAAATGATTTTTGAGAATTCTACACCATTTCTATGAAAAGTTACTTTTTTGCGACCTCTAAATATTTTTTGATTTAAAAAAAAAAAAAAAAATATGCGTATACTTTTTTCGATACAGAACAAGCCTAGGGGTGGCGGCATTAAAATTCTGACTTACTGTTTTTGGACCACTCTAACATACATTTGGTTATTTAAAAACTGGGCATAGGTAAATATTTTAATTTTTGGCAAAAAAAAAAACTGGATATATAGTTTTTTGTTGTTAATTTAAAAACGGAATATACTGGATATGATCGCTTAACTTAAGGACATACATTTTTGGACATTTAAAAACTTTTTGGCCATTGGGCTGACATTTGGGACATGAGCTTTCAGCCATTTACAAACCGAAAAAAAATTTTTGTTTTGTGTTTAAAAACTTTACTTTACTTTTTAACATATGTATATGACCATTCAACATCAATTGTAGACACTCGTTGACAATGGAAAACGCAACGCTTAGCGCTCCAATGTAGCGACGCCAGTAAAAATCAACTTAAAAAGTTAAATTATGTTCAGTTTTTCCTTTCAAACGTTCGTCTGCAATATTTGAGTGGTTCACAAATTTACTAAAAGCTTCCCGAATTCCGCTAAAATTCCTGCGCAATTTTTTATATTATTTCATACGGCATTTCATAATTTTTTTTTTTGTTTTGTCTTTTTTTTTCGAATTTGCAGCACATCACTTGTCCCACAAACAACACTCACCGGGCGGCCAAAATGGACGCGCTTCCAATTTACGCCTCGTCTTACCAACGCCACTTGCTCAAAATATGTCAGCTACAGATGAGATTACCTATGGAGATGTGAGTAGAGCGCAACATTACTATTTTTTTTTCACTGGTTTAATTAAAAAAAAAAAAAAAAAAAAAATGTGCAAGAAAGCTTTATTTTGCTATCAAAGCCAAAAAACATTTGCGACTCTAAGCATAATTTTGTAGATATTAGAGGGTCAATTGAACAAATTTAAATTCATCCGTACGTATCTAAATATATAAACTGTTATTCTTCTCTCTGTGCAGCAGCGACACAATCAGGCATCACTCAACACGCCCGTGGTGACGCTGCAAACGCCCATACCCACCATGACGGGCTACACGTTTGGACCCCAAGACTTCTCGATGAGCTCCTCGGATGTCATGAGCTTACAGCCGTGGACCACTCATCAGGGACTCGTGCAGCACTCCGGGTGAGTAAATTTCGAATGAAGGCTAAAAATAGTTTATGAACTTTTTCGCATTTCTTCCTCCGCTGCTCCTCGAATGCAGTCTGCCACACTTGGCCATACCGAACAGCACACCACCGCCTGCCACCTCGCCAGTCTCGATCAAAGTCAAATCCGAGCCACAATCACCGCCACGCGATCTCTCCGGTTGCCATCACCACCAACAGAATAGCAATGGCTCGGCGGGCAGCGGCGGCAGTGGGGGCGGTGGCGGCGGTGGCGGTGGTGCGGCGTCTTCAAGCGGCGGCGGCGTTTCCACCTCCAACGCGCTCTCTCTTGCCCATATGAATGCGACGGCGGTGATAGCTGGCGGCGGCGGCGGAAGCTCAGCGTCTGAGCAGGCCGCCAACTTGAGCGTTCTAAGTCATCCGCAACAGCATCTGGTGATGCCCGGCTCAAGACCTTCCTCCACAGGACATCTCACGCCGACGCAAGGAGGTGAGCAAAAAAAAAAAAACAATTTTATTCTTTTGTTTGATTTTTCTTCTGCTCTCGATAAGTATTTAGCGAATTGTTGCTACGTTCTTTCTCTATTTTATTGTTCGTTAGCGTAATGCAACGCCTTTTTCGAAATATGTAATAAAAGTAATTTTCTAGAATTTAATTTTTGGTCAAATTTTATGGATAAAATTACGATTTGTAATGATTTTTTTTTTGTTGTTATTTGCTTTCATAATTTTCCAAATGCTGTTGTGCGCATACATTTGTTAGCAATTTGAAGCGAACTATTTTATAGTAAATTTTGTTAATTAAAAATCCGTAACAAATAGTGAATTTGCATAAGTTGCTCGGCAGCATGTCAATTTTTAGCTACACTTACTTTCATTTTTAATGTAAAGGATTTTTCTTAAATTTGTATTAACTTGTTTGGCAGTTTTTAATTAATGTATAAAAATACAAAGCTACGCAAACACAATAACAAACTTTATTAACAACCGAATAACAAATAAAACCGTTATTTTTTATGATAATTCGCTCCTAAAAATATTTAGGGAAAATATACACAGGGTTAGTAGGGTGCAGTCTGGAGAGATATTTCATCCCATTAAAAGAAAAAAAATTCCCAAAATTTTTGTAGCCTTCCTGGTGCAGCGGTGCGGTGCGTACGACAAACGCTTGACCTATTTACTAATTAAATCGAAGCTACAAACTGGCAAGAAAGGTTTTTTCTTTTAAATTTCGAGACTTAAAGGGCATCATGAAAAATTTTCATAAATTTTTTTTTCGAATAGGATTCTCCCTCATTACACTACAAACGAAATTTTAAAATTTTGATTTTTTTCTGGGCTAAGGCTAGTCCAGATTTCCAATAGATTTTGAGTCGCTGAATTCGAATCTGAACGCATAATTACTCCATCAGCTCAGGTTTTTTATATATTCTAATCCAAACATGCGAACATTAAAAAACAAAAATTTTTCTAGAAGTTCTAATTAATTAAAAAACGGTATGTTTCGGATATTCGGGATTTTTTGGAAATTGTCTGGTGCGAAAGTACATTTTAACCTTAAAAAGTAAAATTTACGTGATATTCATCATCAGGACGAAAGTTACTCATACGCACTGCAACACCGCGCAATTTCCAGCCAATTTCGAAATGGCTACCTAGTCAGCATACATATATAGTATAAATACATACATACATACATACATATCTTAATAACTTCCACTTTTAACTACAAGAAATATTTTATCAAACTCTTTGTGTTACTATTTTATTTGTTATTTTTTCTCTTTTTCTCTTTACATTACGCGGTGCGCAAATTCGAAAAAAACAAAAAAAAAAAAATATTAAAAACATTAAATTACAAAACAAAACTATTCCAGTGCTAGATAAGTATGAAGGATATCAGTACCGCTCGCAACTGGGTTCGAATTCTAGACTATGGAATTTCGCCGGTAATTTGGCCAACCAAAAATATTTAAGCATACAAAAACCAGTACACCAGTACACACATATAGTACATGTCTGCATAAAAACATTCCCAATTCATGTAAACATATGAGATCTATTCACATCATACATATCTACATACATATATTGCTCCCAAATACACCACACCAGTTCTCTCTCTCGCTTTAGTCTTTTGACCACCGACTGTGTTAGGTGTTTGGTTCATGCGTTTGGAACGATGACTTTTTTTCTCCTGGTGTTTATGGCCATTATCCCACACTCTTTCTCACTCTATGATCCGCCTCTTATAGTTCTTGTGTACATACATACATACATACATACAAATATTGTACGAAAGTCGCCTTTTCACTAATATTACCTACATACGCACATAATTCTCCTCAGTCCCAGATTTAAAGCTTTGCTTCATTGAATATTGTAAACAATTCATTGCATTTGCCTATGAATGTACGCACAGTTACATACATACATATTTTTATTTTATTATTATTTTTTTTTACGCTTCTACTCACAAACAACAATGCAGAAATAATACATTTAATGTACCTAAACACATATTTGTATATAGTATAAAGTGGCTTACTATTTTATTTGAAATCTACCAAATAATAAAAATCTATTACTAAAATTGTTGGCTACACAAGACTAGAACTACAGAAAGCCTTTTTATAAATGTTATATTTTTATCACGATTTTCAGTTTTTAGAAAAAAATTATTTCTTTGTTTAATTTTTTGTATTGATAATACTTTGAATTCTCAATTTATTTTTATTTAGAACATAGAAAATATGTATAAGTAATTTTTAAAGATAATTACAAACTTTCAAACTTTTGTTTTGGCATTTTTCGCTTCAACAAAATGTAAAATAATATTTTATTCTAAATAAATAGAATTGGAAATTACAAGAGGAATTGGAAGAATTGGAAATTATAGAGGAAAATTTTTTGTTTGTATCGGGCGCCTCATTTCGCAAAAAGTAATACCCCTTACAGTATTTTTGGTTTTCATACATACATAAATATTTCAAATAAAAACAGAATCTTTCAATTAAATTTTGAAATGGAGTAGATCAAATGCCTCTAGTATGAAAGCTTGATTTGGTATATTTTATATAAAAACTAGAGTTGACATTGAGCATTTTATTATTTATATCTCATCTGTGGGTTACCTTAATGGAAAAACTTTTCTAAACCTGAAATTTTCCCTAATTTTGTTAATTTATTTAATTACAATCACAACACTCCTTTACCACTGAATTCACTATTCCCCATCCATTCGAATATTCCCACCACATGGCTAACATAGCTACATATATACATACATACATACATACACACATACATTCTTGCATGACAGTCGTCTCTGCCATCGAATGCGCGATTTTTATTTATACATTAGTTTATCCGATTCCTTTACATTGTTATAGTAGTAGTAGTTTTGTAATTGCGAAGTGTGCATGCTAATTGAATATCACTAATACATATGCCTGTACATACTTACACTTAAGCATACATACTTACATACTACATAGTACATATTACCAAACCAAACCATCAAAGTGCATTTGTAAAATAGAAATTGCTAAAGGCTGCCAACAACAAGCATACGCAAGGAAGTGAGGCGCCGGCCTTAACTGTGAATTGCGCATGCGCATTGCTTAGTCGTTTTATTTTCGGGAGCCCGATACGCGCAGCATGAGCCACTAACAGCCAGGCGCCCAACAGAAGCCAGCAACCGATTAACCAGCTTTTTGCCTGGCGCCAACTTTTGATTCAGCCGCGTGGCTAGCCTGAGAGCCAGATGTGCGACGTTTAATCCAATGCAGTGGTCAGCAGTGCATGATCTGTTTTTACCGCTGAATAAACTAATACTGTATTAACAGCAAACAATCACACTCGCCCTACTCGCCTTGCTTCGCCTCGCCTCACCTTGCCTTGCCTTGCCTTGACTTTTGGCTTTTGGCTTTGCCCTTCCGCGCCACACTTTTCACCTCACTGTACAGCCCAAACTAATGAAATAACAGACTTTATAATTTTCAATACAGGTTCGGTTACACCCACCAATGTGCCATCGCCCGATCTCCGCTTAACGCCCAATCAGCAGGTGCAGCAACAGCATCAACAACAACAACAAGCGCAACAACAGCAACTAAATGACTATGACGGACCGAATCAGGCGCACAAGCGACCACGCATCTCTGGCGGCTGGCCAACATAGCCGGCGCGAGAGATTGGATGCCATAGTAGCAAAACAAACAGCAACAGCAACAACAACCACATGCATAGCAACAGCAACAGCAACAGCAATGGCAGTAACAGCAGCGCAACAGCAGCAACAACATTGAAGAACTATCAGCAACAACAAAAACAACAACTTGGCAGCAACAACAACACAAACAACCATGGCGCTGGCGGGGTAGGTGGAGGTGGCGGTGGTGTTGGTGTTGGTCAGCAAATGCCCCCGCCCGCCGCCAATTCACCTTACTTACGCAACGCAAGCAACAGCAGCGCCAACAGCAACAGCAACAGTGACAGCAATAATAATAACAATAACGGCGTCGGCGTCGGCGTCGGCGTAGGTATCGGCAGCAGCAGCAGCAGCAGTCCATTACTTCTAAAGTCCAGCTGCAACGAAATGCGCTCCTCTTACAACAACAATAATAGCTGCTTGAGTGGCAGCCAACATGCAGGGCGCCATGGGAAATATGGCAGCTACCTGCAACAACAACAACATCAACAGCAGCAACAACGATTGCTATTGCAACAACAACAACAACAACAAGAGCTTGACAACAACTACTTGAATGCCGTTGACTGCAGCTTCCTGGCGCAAACGAGCGTATATGGCGGCAGCGCAGGCGCCGCTGCTGGCGGTACAGGTGTTACTGCCGGCCATACGGCCCTTCCTTACCCCAGCAGTAGTTCCAATCATCAGCATCAGCATCACAACACGCTTGCGCACCACCATAGCTTAGGTGGTATGAATGCTTTGAGCCACCACGGCCACAATGCGGTCAATGCAATCATATCCAAATGAAATGTAGCGAAAGAGAAGAGATCTATAGATAGTGGAAAGTCACACTTTTGAGTCCAGTTTACAACCACAATAACTGAAACTAACAGAAACATCACCTACCAACAGAAACAAAATGAAGAAATTACTAAAATTTAGTAACTTGCAAACAAAAACAAAAAAAAGCATCACAGTCCCAGTTTAAGTTTAAGATATGAATCCAGGCTGATTAGTTAGAAGTTAGAGAAGTTGTGCATTCGAGTGCGGCATTTTTCGAAGGTGAAAACGAATGTTCGAGCCATCGGGCAGACAAGACAAGCTTTGCTAGTAGCCACTCGTGCGACCTTCAAGCGCGCCGCAGGCCGGGAATCTTGTGGATTAGATATTCATTAAAGTGTCATATCGTAAATGTAAGTAAAAACGTTGCTCCTAAAATAAGTGCAAAAGGCAAACAAAAAAAAAAAAAACCAAAAAAAAGAAACAAAGGAAATACTTTTTAATATAAATCAGAGCAGCCTATAAGCGATAAAGGGTGCAGTGGAATAAACTTAATTTTAATAAAAAGTTATCTAATTTAGTTTAGCATAAATTACACTTATATGAATGTTAAGAGAGAGAGAGAGAGAGAGAGTTAGTTAGTTAAGTTAATTTAGCCGAACGTTTGAAATGAGACATTCACTTAAGGCTGGCATTGAAAATGATCAGCATACTCATACACATACATACATACATACATATGTACATATCGTCGTTTAAAGTACAAAACCGCGTATCAACCAAATGCAAACAACAACCGAGTATGTGAGGGTGCATAAATTATTTTCATATGTCAAAATGGTACTCTTTTTTTATATAAAGCAATTGCATTGCTGGCTAGTATATTGCCGGACGAATGGATAAGGATTGAGCCAAGAGCTTGTGTGAGCAAATCCAATTTTTGGCAAAAAAATGTGAGTTACACGGTTTTGCAGAACGATGTTGTACTTCAAACGACGATATATATATATATATATATATATATACATGAATAGTACAGGACATAGTCAGATGCAAACTCATTAGCAAACGAGTTACTTTTTATTTTTAAATTTTCGTTAACGTAAATAAATACACAATTCAGCACGAAATAATGGTGATGTACGTAAATCCGAACGATGAATTCAGGCAAATTTCAAGTCACATAGAGTGTTGTAAAAGTCCGTTAATCTTAGGTGAAAGCCTAGAGGTATACGCAACTTAAGCTTGTTCAGCAATGAAAGCACTTGGCGAATATTGCCTAGCGAGAATTCATTTGTTCAACCAGAACAGAACAGAGCTAAAGTCCCTGCAGGAAAGTCTACTAATTGTCAGCTGGACTGCTACCAAATATGCTTTGCAGTTCAGCTCGTTCATCTTGAGTTTCAGATTTGATATTTTTAACATTGTGATAGCCTACGAAAAAATCGAATTATCCGGCAACGTGTCAGCAAAAACCAATACCACACCGTCTTACCACCGCGTCTTACATGTTGATGGTGTAGTCGGCCCTTATTCATAACCATTTAAAGAAATGAATTCGAGAAATTATCTGGCCCGCCACAATACATTCAGCGGCTTGGCGGCAGAGAAATGTTCAATTCACATAATTTATTCAAATTGAAAAATCGGAAATATCTTAACTCATTTATTTTGAAAAAACAAACTCAAACCTACGATCCCAAAACCAGAAGCCGTAATAATATTCTTGAGTATTGGATTCGCCATTTGTCCTTTAAACACAGCTGGTATGCCGCCGCATCAGCACCTACCAGTTTGTTAACTGAATGGGTTGGCTTTTCACTGCGGGGGTACGACAGCGAGGCGATACTTGTCATTAACTCCTTACAGAATAGTCACCCTGATGAAGTGGTGCCTGCTTTTAAGCAAGCTTAGCAATTCTCAAAAAAAAAAATCTGGAAATTTAAACGTTATAATGCGAATGTTAAGTGTTGAACATTCATTTAAGTTAAAACAAAAAAAAAAGCCACAAAAAAATAAAAGCAAAAAAAAAAACAAAGAAGAATATGTGCAATGTGTATAAAACTAAGAATTATACAAATCCAAATACGTAATTGCATGCAAGTCAAACACAATAAATACCCGCATACACATACTTATAAACACATTTTTGTTAAACATTTAATGATTTTAAATTGTAATCGAATTATAGTCTATTTTAAACAATATGTAATTTCAATAAAATTTTTTTCTATTAAAGTTTTTCGTTTTTTGATCGGTGAAAACGGCAAAAAGAAAACATAGGGTGAATGATGAATATTTGTAGTTTAACCCTTTAACCGCCAGCGTCGCTTATGTGTCAGAGATTTTTTCCACAGACACTTCATTGATTCAACTTGTAATACCTTTCCAGCCAACGAGCTTTTAATATAAAAATGAAAGCTTACACTGATTCCAGTATATCTCCAACCCAAAATTTGGCAACGGATGATGGAAATTCGTTCCAGAATACATCATACACTCACCCTGTCGGAAATAACAACAACCTAAAAGGAAAACTTTTTAATATCGCAAAACTTATTGGCTTTGCATGTCTTATTTTTTTGGAGTTTTTGGAGAAAAGTACAGATATAAAATTTTGAAAACAAAAATTGCAACCTAACAGTTAATTCATTTAATGCCTCTTCTTATTTGGCTCTCCAGTCATTTTTCGGGTTAGTTCGAGATTAACTAAGAAATTTTTTAAATGTTTCCAACTTCAGTTATTCAGCCAAGAGGAGAAAGTTTCTTCAAAGAACGCTTAATTACATAAACCTATTTGTGGAAGTCTTATTAAAATATTTTAAAAAAGATCAATTTTAAATTTCTAACCAAAAATGTTTTTAATTTCTATAGAAATTGTGCGCAGCATAAAAGAAAGTTGTTTAAATTTGCAAAGCTAAAAACGTTCATGCTAAACAAAATATTAAGAAAAAAACTGTTCTAAAATTTTTAGAAAATTTTTATCAGAAATGCTAACATTTACTTAAAATACGAATTTTTAACTACATAAATATGTACATAAAAATCAACTTTTTCTTTTTAAGCCTCGTACGTCAACCGGTTGTTTTAATATTTGCGTATGTATGCATGTACATTTTTAAATTCAATAATTTGTAAAATTTTCCACCTAAACGAAAATTAATATTTAAAAAAAAAAAATAAGTTTAATTTTAATAATAAACTATTTTAAGTTTTGAAGTCATAATTTTAATGTTTTTGTCACTTTTATTTGTAAGTACAATTATGTTTATGTAAATGTTTAAATAGAAATACAAATCAAAAAAACATTTATACAATATGCACGTACACACACACACACACCCATATAAGTGAAAACAACATGGATGCATACATACATACATACATACTTAAAAAAAAAACACGAACTTACATAGCATACATATGTATGTATGTTCATATATGTATGTATATATAAAAACAAAAATAATTATGATTAATTTAAATTTACAACGCTGCTCTGATATTTGTTTGTTCGTTAGTGTTAGTGAGTTTTTTTACCCTTATTGTTTTTACTATTACATACATACATTCATACGTACATACATGAAAATTTTGTGTATAATAAAAAGGATGGAAAAATTTGAATCATTTCGTTTGGTTTTCTTTTATATATATATGTATTGAAATAATTTCGTTATAAACTGATTATTTTTTTTTTTTATAAAAACTAGGCAACAGCAACACTTAATAGAAAGTTCTAAATTTGTTTTCATTTATTTAATCTTACTTTTGATGTAGAAAATTGAAAATTTAACTTTACAATAAAAATTGTAAATTCGTTACCATGATAAAAACGTGGTTGAGGTAAAACCGTTTTCTCAATTCGTCGGCCATGATTTTTTTTTTTGTAAGTTTGCCAGCATTTAGCCTATTCGAATAGATTTCAAGTGAAAAATATCCAGCAGCAACTTGCAGGAGAGTAACGAACGATATCTCTCAAGTTGGAAAATATCCATAAAAATACGCGAACGCAAAATTAGCAAAAAAACATGCAAGTTTCTAATACAGCTGATCGAAAATTTGTTTACTTACAAAAGCATGAAACTGGAAACGCAAACAAACGTAAGATAATGAGTGTTTGCTTTATTCCAAAACATTTGCTAGAACTTCAAGTTATTTTTAGCTTAAATATCATAGAAACAAATTTCGTAATTTTCATAAATTGCAAACAAATGACCTTGAGCAGCTGGTTTTCTTGCT